TGATGGCCGTCTTCGTTCCTTTTGTGTTCTTATTTTATCCGTAAAAATAAACGATCTTATATGGCGCCTTTAAAAGTAGCTTCTCGAAACAACGAGAGGGGATATGAATCTGATGTTTTGCTTTCGCAGAGCTGTGTGAGCCGGTTCTCTTGCAATCTTCCAAAAACATGTAATGCGCGATTGTCCTCATTCTCGGCAGTCGGTTTCATTCCTGTCTTTCAATCGGGGCGATCTCGAGGCTCTTTGCATGCATTGTACACAACAAAAATGTGTAGAAGTCGGAAAAAGAAATTCCAAAAAGTGCATCAATTATGAAAGTAAAAGAATTGTTAGGTGTCGAAGGCCATCGAGAGCAAGTCAGCCTTCAGGCGAGATTTAAAAATATCAGTGTGAGGGTGTGTTTTTGATCTGGTCAGGAATTGTGCCCCAAAGATGGGGAGGGGGTGGGTGGGCTACTGCTGAAAAGGTTCAGTCCCCCCCTAACAAATGATGTGAAGGTCTAATAATACTAGTATTTATGGATTTTATTTATTTGGTTTATGAAGCACCTTTCCAAAACTCAAGGTTGCTGTACATGGTGATAGAAAGAAGAGGAGGAGCTTAAAAGCCAGCCAAAGAGCTCGTACATGTGTAATACACGAGTGTTTGATTTTCCTGAATGTGAATGATTGCTTTAAGTGGATGTTATCTATTGCAATGTAAAGGTGTTTTGATTTCTTTTCTAGCACTTACCCTGAGAAAACATGGAAGACTGGGAGGACAACGTGGTAAGTGATCTTAATGACAGAATCAGAATCGTATGTTGCATAGACAAGAAATTCAGATCTGGTGACTTGGTGCGAAAACATAAAATAAAAACAATATACGCAGAGGTCCACAGGTGTGTGTGTATATATATATATAAGGTGGGTAGCTGCGTCAGCATGCGTAGGCTGCAAAGGAACAAGTAATAGGTTTATTCCATGCTGAAAAAAAGAAGAAAGAGAACACAACGTTTCGGCTGTGGAGCCTTCTTCAGGTGTGTAGGGCTTCACACCTGAAGAAGGCTCCACGGCCGAAACGTTGTGTTCTTTCTTCTTTTTTTCAGCATGGAATAAACCTATTACTTGTTCCTATATATATATAATATGTGCACAGGTAGTGTCTGCCTGTGGTACGTTTTTTTAAACGGATGGTGTCCTGGATGAGAGGAGTCAAACTCCACTCTTTTGAGTCTGTTGACCTGGAGGTTGTTGACACAGACATTCACTTCCCTTTTGTTCACGTTTTAGTCTCCTTTACTGATAAGAGCCACCGGGGAGTGTCACCTGCAGACTTGAGTCTGACGGAGGTACAGTCGTTGGTATACAGGGAGTCAAGTAATGAGGAGAGCAGCAGTGCACCTCAAGGCTCACAGATGAGCAGTCTGATAAATAAGAGCCTATCCACACATTACCTTTTTATTTGTGAAGGAGGTGATCCACTGGCAGGTGGGGAGGGAAACATTCAACATTCAGGTGGGACAGTTTATTGTGGAGGAGTGCTGGGATGAGGGTGTTGAATGCACAGCTCAGATCAACAAAAAGGAGTAGCGTACTCCTGAAGTTTCCAGATGTTGCAGGATATAGTGGAAGCGAATATTAACAGCATCACGCACTGACTTAGTGTCTCTGTAGACAAGTTGTGGGTCAAGATATGAAGCTGATTGTTTTGATTGTATCAGAGTATCAAGAGCTCAAAAGGTTTTCATTATGACCGATGGAAGTGAAACTGATCTGTAGTCATTAAAACAGGTTATTCTGTCCTTCTTCTGAACTGCGGTGATGATAGAGGATTTGAAGCAGGCAGGGAACCTGCACTGGTCCGAGGACACACAGCAGGAAAAGCCGAGCAGCACAGTGCTTCAAAGTAGCTGAGAAACCAAATCGGCACCAGCAGTTCCTGCATTTACGTGTGCAAGGAGCTTAAGGCTTCATGTTCTTCAAAAATCAGGGGAAAGACATAAATTGAAGATAGTTCCTGGATGTTTCGGGGAGAGGGATTAGGAGAGTGAAGGAGTCGGGTGTTAGAGATTAAAGGAGATAACTGGTTGCATGACCCATTGTTGGAAAGTTTTACTTATCAAATCTGCTGTAAAATGTGGTTCAGATTGTAAGGTAGAGACTACATTGTATATTGATTTACATGTAGTTAAAATTTTAAATGCTTTCAAGAGTGCAAAAACATACTTTTTCTCTTTTAAACAGTTTTCTAGTACCATTGTGCTTTAAACTAATATTTTTGCTGCAGTTTTGGGTTTTGAGTATGAACCTTCAAATGCCGTTCTTTCATAACTTTAACCTTTCAGGTGGAAATCTTGGAATAATTAAGGCAAACCCCATGTATAATCTAGGCTAAGGATCAGCCTTGGTTTTTTGGAATTTATTTTGGGTGCACAATACATTGGGGTGTATAATAAGTTTTCCATTTTCAAAACTTTAACTTGGCTTCGGCAGAAGACGCATTAGATATAAAGGCCTCCTTATATCAAGGGCTAAAAAAGATTCAATCACTGAAATTAAATTGAGTGATTTGAAGCAGCTTTAGGTTTGATTTAAAAATTTAATTTGACAGTTGTCATTTAAATGCAAGAACTTTCCATCTTAAAAACCAGGGACAGCTACCTAAAGGTATCAGAAAGTTGACTTAATTCAATTTAAGGTGTTAAGTGTTTTGTCCAGCTGTAAACTGTAATAAATAATAGTAATGAATAGTATGAAAGGTTGCTTATGATCTGCTGTCTCTTTGCAGGACCCCATGCCCCAGAGTGCTTACAATGCATTGACAAATGGTAGGTAACTGCAGACAATCAATGAAGGAAATTGTGCAGGAAAGTGACTGGTGTTCCTGCTGTTAAACAACTACCAAAAAGTATAAATTAGTAACTTGGGAGATTTGCAGCAATAAAAGCCTGAAATTCACAACCCACTGAAGCTCAGCAGGTGTGAGCCTGGTCAATACCTGGATGGGAAACCTCCTGGGAAAACTAAGGTTACTGCTAGAAGAGGTGTTAGTGGGGCCAGTAGGGGGCACTCACCCTGCTTGTGTGGGTCCTAATGCCCCAGTATAGTGATGGGGCATTAGGCACTATACTGTGAAAAGGCGCTGGATGAGACGTAAAACTGAGGTCCTGACTCTCTGTGGTCATTAAAAATCCCGGGGAGTAGGGGTGTAACCCTGGCATCCTGGCCAAGTTTCCCTCTGGCCTTGACCAGTCATGGTCTCCTAATAATAATTCCTGTCTCTGAATTGGTTTAGTCACCCTGTTCGTCTCCACACTAATAGCTGATGTGTGGTGACCGTTCTGGTGCATTATGGCTGCCATCGCATCATCCAGGTGGATGCTTCACATTGGTGGTTATGGAGGGGAGTCCTCATTACCCGTAAAGCGCTTTGAGTGGAGTGTCCAGAAAAGAGCGTATATACGTGTAAGGAATGATTTAGACTAATTTGAGTTTGAGATCGTGAATGGATTTCACTGAAGTGGAAAACAAAGTACATGTGAGACGTTCAAAATTTGTCCCTTTGCAGGTTTGATGTCTGCATCTTTAGAACCCCTTAACTCAGTTTTGTACAGCCTACGTTGCTTGCTAACTTTCATTCTGTGATCAATGTACATGGGCCATGTCCCTTTCCCAAAGAATGGATTTTACATTGGGAGTTGAAAAGTAGTTTTTAAGCAGAATTTCTAATAGGACATGTTTGTCAATATCCCCCATTGTCTTTCAGCTATGTCCAAACCTCCTTAAGGTTTAACAGTTTGCTTGCTGTGAAATATTCAAATACCAAATAAATGCTGTTGTCTTGAGCAGTTGTATACATTTTTCTTAAAACTATTTAGATTTAATTTTTAGTTAAACTTTTTATTGCAGTCCTTGTTATTTACAATTAATTCTCTTTTGATAGTGGCAGAACACTACCCCCTAGTGTCCTTTTTCCCATACCACAAGTTAATTGCTGAACTATCTGAAGTGTAAATGTTAACAGTCGTTATATTCATAAGGTGATTTCACAATCGCTAAATACAGTGGGAAAGTTTCTGGTTACATTTTCTGTACTCTAGAGATTTTTGTTAAGTAGTGATTTCTGTTTCTGTGGGAAACGTAATCCAAATTGGAAGTCCTGTTCAGACATCAAGAAAATTACTGTTACCAAGTCCTGTATCCTCTAGTATTTGTAGAGCCCCACTTGTGCCTTTATTTAAGCTTAGTTTTCCATACTTTTTAGTGTTTTTCAAAAAGCCTTCCAAGGGGTTTTCATGAGTTTCAGTTTTAGAATGGTTTAAACATTGACTGGACACATACCTTATTAAAAAAAAAATGTATGAAGATCTGTTATCAAAGGCTTGTGTTCTGCACAAGAATGAAGAACTTTCCTCAAGTGTCAAAGTAGAGCTTTATGCCGAGTTGTTTTCTGTTACTGTGTTTGGTCTTTTTCCCTTTTTTTGGGGGGGGGGAATCCCAGATTCGGTTAGTAAAAAGTGGGCAAAACAGCCTGTTTTTATTGTGGAGTTGTCTCATGTTGACAGTTTTTGTTTTCTATTTTGCAGGTAATGAAACAAAGACCTGGAATAGCCTCTATTCAGATAGGCCTTCTTACAGTCAAAATGGTAAGTTTTTTAAAAGAAACTATTCACTCTAGAGACCTGCCCACAGAAGAACAAGCAGGCCATTTTTTTCCTCCTGGTTTGTGTTATGGCAGCATGTTTTGATCCAAGAACAGATGCTGTGCCAGTTGCTGTTCTAAAATTTCAGAAGTGCAATAAAAGGGCAAATTAATTTTCATGAATTTGAGTGTTTGACCTCGAGCCTGTGTGCAGCTTTAAACTGTCTGTGTGGGGGGTGATGTAAGAGTGGATGCCTTCGTAGAAAAGGAAATCACTTTGTGTCAATTGTTTAGTATTAATAGGTAATTAAACCCTTAATATGTAGTTCTGTCAACAACTGCAGCATAGGAAAAAACACCTATTAAGTTGTCTTTTCTTATCATTTGGTTGATTTACTTACATCCAGCTCCTGAATCTTTAATCTTTATTTACAAACGTTCATAGCTTGCCACAGTCCTCTTAAAGCAACACTTCCCCCGATTGTTTGATACCACCAGGTCAAAGCTACCTTCATAGCCACATTTGAAATTTCCAAAGCCCGAAGATGACCAGAATACTTAAAATACAGTTTGGGGTTAGGGCTCTAAATTAAAAAAAAAAAAAAATCAGGTGTTTTTCAGGACATAAATTTAATTAAACAGTTCTTTCCCCGGCTTCTGCCTTTGGGAAGATTTGGTTTTTTTTAAGTAACTGTTGTGTTGCGTACTAGAAATTAATGTTTTTCTGGTTTTGTGTTTAGGTGCAAATTAACTACAGAAATGTCAGTGCTATGGTAACTTAGCAGCACAATCCTACCTTTTTGTTTTTCTTTGTTTACCAGAACAAAGAATATTTTTTAAATTCTTTTCTCTTCATATGGATTTAATGCTTTACATTATTGCTGTTGGGGTAGACTTGTGGTTTAGCTGAAAATTTATTCCACCTATAAAACTGTATTCTGCCTTAACCTTTTATTTCTGACAAACATGTTTAACAACGCTGTTGGCTAAACAGTACTACATTAAGACATGTACATGGATTTATCATCTTTACCCCTTCTTTCATAAGGAAGAATATTTTTTCTTGTGGTGAATGTAATTTGCATATCGGATACCAGTGTGACCTCTAAACGAAACATGCCTTTACTTGACGTATCCACACCTGGTTTTGGTGTTTTTCCCTAGTAAACGGATGTTATTTTTCCCCGTGAATCTGCTTGACTTGTTTTAATTGGCATCTTGACTGCTGTAGTTTTGGTACTGACAAAATATTTCAGATTTTTGCATTAGCTTGAATTGACTATGTGGAGTTGGTTGCATGAGACTGCTGTGTTTCAGTAAGTCAGGGTTCCCATGGTCAGGAAAAATTTGGAAAAATGATAAAATCCATAAGTTTTGGCAAAGTCATAGAATTTTTAATTGACCCCAAATTATCATAGCTCTAACATGTAATTTTGTTTGAGGCTGCGGCCTTGTCATCGCTACCATTATAGTGACCCGTAAGCTAGCCTAGTGCCCATGTAAAAATTATAATAATTGCTCACACTTATATAGTGTTTTTCTGGACACTCCACTCAAAGCGCTTTACAGGTAATGGGGACTCCCCTCCACCACCACTAATGTGCAGCATCCACCTGGATGATGTGACGGCAGCCATAATGCACCAGAACGCTCACCACGCATCAGCTATCAGTGGGGAGGAGAGCAGAGTAATGAAGCCAATTCATAGAGGGGGATTATTAGGACGCATGATTGGTAAGGGCCAATGGGAAATTTGGCCAGGATGCCGGGGTTACACCCCTACTCTTTTCGAGAAACGCCCTGGGTTTTTTAATGACCACAGAGAGTCAGGACCTCGGTTTTACGTCTCATCCAAGGGACAGCGTCTGTTTACAGTACAGTGTCCCCGTCAGTATACTGGGGCTTTAGGACCCACATGGACCGCAGGGTGAGCGCCCCCTGCTGGCCCCACTAACACCTCTTCCAGCAACAACCTTAGTTTTTCCCAGGAGGTCTCCCATCCAGGTACTGACCAGACTCACATGCTAAGCTTCAGTGGGCTACCAGTTGTGAGTTGCAGAGTTATATGGCTGCTGAATGCTGGGTAAATGTGTTTTCAGTGACCTCTGGTAAACAGATGAAAAATTCAAGCTATAGCTCCAAAAAGTTGAAGACCCAGGATGTGCAGGATGTAAATTATGTGGGGAAAATTTTGACGTGAAGAACGTGCGTGAAGCTGCACTAGCAAGTCGCGTGAAGGGTAAAAAAAACACGTCGACAATGAGAAGGCTAGAAGAGAAACAAGTGGAATCGGCACCTTTTTCAACTCCTCTGCAGCTAGTGCAGCGAAGGTGGGCGCGATCGCCTCACGCAGGGAGACAGCCAAGCAAACAGACGTCTAACGATTCACTTCCTGCTGAAGTGTTGTGGGCACTGAAAGTCATTGATTGACATAATTCGTGCAAATCGTGCGCCAGCGTTGGGCAGCTGTTTAAAACAATGTTCTGTGACAGTGGAATCGCAGCTCAATTTTCTTGTGAAACAAAATCCACACCTGAAGGCTCAAACTGAACACTAATGGGTGAAAGTTTGTCTGCATAAACTTAACATTAAAAAAATAAAGATTGCATCAGTTTTTGCTAACTTGAGTTAGTCCTTGATGTATGCACATTTAGCAGTAACTATAGCTGCAAGACGTTCTTTAGGAATGTTAACCAGCTTTGCACACCAGGACAGGACAATTTTCTTTCATTCTTTGCAGGGAGGCTTAGGTTCTGCCAAGTTGATTGGGGATTGCTGACAGCAATTTTCAGGTCTTGACGTGTATCTTTCGTTGGATTAATGTCTGAATTGTGACTGCACCACTCAAGGACATTCTTGTTTTTTTTAGTTTGTGTTATTCTCCTGCAGAAAGATGGATTTTTGTCCCTCTTTTCAGTCTTTGACAGACTGAAGCTTCTCCTATCTCTTACTCTTTCTCTTTCACCTCAGTTGTGACTGTGCACCCTAGTCCCTACTGGTGAATTTATGGAAATAGGTGTTTATTCAGAAATTATGTGAGCTACTGCAGATCAAGTCCAACGTATTGTGTGACCTGTCAAAGTAATTTTGTGCATCTTTACTAACGATAAAGAGAGTGAAAGACTTATTTGAACAGTTCTATTTTTTGGTGGTGTTTAACCTTTCATAGGTGTTCGGTCTGAGTGTTCAAATTGGGTTCTAAGTATTAAAATTTAAATTGTATGGATGTATACTTTCTAATGCAACAAAATGCAATGTGAGTGGAAGGGGGTGAGTATTTTGAAAAAGTACAAGTACTGTTCTGGCACTTCTATTAGTTATTCAGTATTGCATGAAAAAGGCCAATAAGGGTGTATTTCATTCAAATTTGCTATTTTCTTTTATTGCGTTAGATAATGAGAGCTCCTGGAGCAGTAATGTAAGAGGTGGCTCTTCCAATCAGAGAGGTAAGTAATGCTGCCCTTTTCAAAATGAGCTACTTGCATTGAGTTGCTATTGTAAGAATCTTATTTTGAAGGCAGTTTGGCTTTTGTGCAAGACCATTGTTCTTGTTGGGAATTTGAAGGTTTGGGGCTTCAGTTTAAAACTTTTTTT